AACCCTAACCCCTAAACCCTAAATACCCTAAACCCTAAACCCTAAACCCTAAACCCTAAACCCTAAACCCCGTTTAAGATTTAGAGCTTTAAGGTCTAGGGTCGGCTGATCTGTTGACCGAAGGTATCTTCAATGTAGTGCCTTTCTTGTGTTAGGGTTTAGGGTTTAGGGTTTAGGGTTTACGGTTTACGGTTTAGAGTTTAGGGTTTAGGGTTTAGGGTTTAGGGTTTAGGATAACCCATTCCAGGAATAGGATCCTCCAGTCGGAAAGCAACTCAACCAGCGTTGGTGACTGCAGGTAGACTAGGGTTTTTGGGGATCCTTTTTGTACTGTAAGTATACTAAGGAAGCCTAAGGAATAACATTGGTAACCATCTAGGCTTCTAGATTAATTCAGGGGAATGGAGATCTCTGAGCACATGGGAAACCCTGTCCTGGTTGGTGTAGAGCCGCTCGTAGGCAGCTCCTGCATTGGGTCAGGTGGTTCGAGTTTACAGGGCTTAGGGCTTAGGGTTTAGGTCGATACCTTCAGCGGTAAGGGGCAGGGCTTGTTGGCGGGGTTATTGATGTTAAGGGGTCCTTTTTGTGGCTGTCCTGGCGATATCAGAAGGATCCTACTATTTGGGGGGCGATAATGGGGTACCTTACTCTCTGAAACTCCCGTTTGTGGCGTGGGGCAGGCTTGGGGCTTAGGAACGTCCTTAGCAACCAGTGGGGCGTCTGGTGTCAAGCCTGTTCGGCTCGGGCGACAACCCGTTGAATTCTCATCCCCAAATCCCTGCAGGCAAACACCAGACCTCCAAAACCCTAACCCTAAGGGTCCATGTACCCAAGTAGTATAGACTTTGGCCTTTAATGTAGTCCCGATTTAGGTACTTTGGGCCAAGGTATATACTATTCGCGCACATGGACCCTGAGGGTAAACCCTAAACCCCATGCTCTCTCGGATACCTTTGCATTTAAAACACCCACAAGAAATAAGCAGCCGCCAAGGCTCCAGCCCGAAGCACCCTAGAGCCTGAGCTAAGGCTGGTAATGCAGGGGCCTGAGTATTTAGAATAGGGTTTGGGGCTCCTTTATAGTAGAATTATGATCAGGAGCCCTCAGGAAAATGGTTTGGGGCTCCTTTATAGTAGAATCATAATAAGGAGACCTCAGGAATAATGTCGGTGAATTCTTCAGGCTTCTATAGTACCTAAGAAGAGCACCCAAGCCTGAAGTAAGCAAGACAACCTTTGAAGCCGTGAACTAAGCCCTTGACCTCAAACCCTAAACCCTAAACCCTAAACCCTAAACCCTAAACCCTAAACCCTAAACCAAGCCCCACGACAGTACAGGTCAACCCAAGAACTGAACTCCAAGACCCGGAAACAAACAAAAAACACAACAAACCTTCAAGCCCTGTGGCCTAAATCACCAAAGCTCCACACCTTAAAGCCGTAAACCCTAACCCTAAACCCTAAACCCTAAAGACGTCACTCCGGTGTCCGGAAGAATACGCGGACTGGTACTCGTACCACAGGTGTCGTTTGCACTCACTGCGGGTCGGAAGTCCATCTTTGCCTCAACAGCTTAGGGGTTTAGGGTTTAGGGTTCATTCCAAGTCTGGGTCCCTTTCTGTGGGTCCAACAAAAAAATTCTGCTAGGCCGTTTATCTGTACTGTTTAATTAGGGTTTTGGTCTTTATAAGACTTCTGCTAGGCCATTTTAGTTTCTGTTCCCTAATTATCTATACTGTTTAATTAGGGTTTTGGACATTCCCAACTGTACACAACTTCAACAAACCGCAGAAGGGTTTGGGGGTGTAGTTTTGTGGTTCACAGGTTTCGGGTTTTTAAGTTCAGGGGTTTAGACTGCGGGTTTCAAGTTTTGGGGGGCCTAGGTGCTTGCGGGTTCAAGGTTTAGAGACTCGCGGATTTGGCTGCTTGTGGGGCATCCGACATGTCGGCTGAAGCACGCCACACATAGACACATAAACTGCGTCATTTCCTCGGCAAATTCTGAACCTCAAGCCTCGTCCATTCCTTCAAACCGCTTACCGAAACCCTAAACCCCGAGCGGTGAACCTCGAAACCCACACTCGCTTCCCTATATGTGAAAGATGTCAGTCGAACAACTTGCCTTGTCCCCGGTACGGTAGTCCCAAAGGCAAAGGAAACGAGGCATCCTTTGGCACAGCCTCAGAAGGCCAGCAACCGAAGGGCCTGAAGACATAACATAATGTAGGGGCCTAAATCATTACCAATACTATTTTGAGGGGTTCCTTATTATTGACTACAGTATCGTGGGCTCCAAAACCCTATTCTAACTATCGATTAAGGCCCTATATGAGAACTCGCGGTTTGGAGGCTTAGGATGTATTGGTGTTCAAACGTTTTGACAATAACCCTAAACTCTGAACCCTGAACCCTAACAGTTCTAGGAAAGCAGGATGGGTAATATAGGAGCCTGAATAATTACCTATACTATGTTGGAGGTTCCTTACTATAATTATAGTATAATGGGCCCTAAAACCCCATTCTAATTATTATTATTATTATTATTAAGGCCCCTATATTAAGCTTCTCGGGCTCAGAGCAAAGGAAAGGTGAAGTAGGGCTCCGTTTCCGAGCATCCCAAGAATGCCACCTCAACATGGATTCAGCAATAGCCCAAGGAGCCCTGTTTAGGGTTTAGGTTTAGGGTTTCCCTAAACATGTCCACCAGAAACCTGAATGCAAGCCCTACCTGGACCCTAAAGAGCCCACCTCTTTAGGGATCCTTATGTTGATTTCTTTATATAAGTCCTTAAAAAGGTAGGTTATTTGGGGCTAAGGTACTCCTTGCAGGATAATCTGCTGTTGTGAGACGAGCTTTCCACATCTTTGTGGACCAAGCTCGGCTTCAGTCGAGAGGGTTCATATAATTGCATAGCTATGATGGCCGCAATGGGAACAGATGATATGCCATGACTAGCAGCTACAACGTATTATACTCCAATCTACTACCGCGTACTGTAGTACACTATACGACAACGATTATGGCTTGGAGGGGTAAGTTCCTGAATTCTTGGGCTGCTGGTTCTTGCTGTACCTAGGATCCTTGGCTTCGTAGAGCTTTACGACTTACGGTTTAGCTTAAGGTTTGCTGTATAGCCCTCCAAGCCCAGGATATGGCTCCCCCACTCCACCCACCCTAAACCATGAACCCTAAACTTACGCCCTGTAAGCCCTAAACCCTAAGCCCTACAACCCTAAACCCTAAACCCAAAACCCAACACCCTGAATCCTAAACCCAAAGCCCTGAATCCTAAACCCAAAGCCCTGAATCCTAAACCTTGAACCCTAAACCCAAAGCCCTGAATCCTTGAATCCTAAAAACCTTGAACCCTAAACACATAAACACGCTCGAGGTCCCCATGAACCCCTGAGGTGATCTCTGAGCATGAGAGGTAGGAGGGCATGGAGCCGATGGGTTGAGGTTTAGGGTTTAGGGTTTAGGGTTTAGGGTTTAGGGTTTAGGGTTTAGGGTTTAGGGTTTAGGGTTTAGGGTTTAGGGTTTAGGGTTTAGAGTCGAGGGTTTATCAGAGATTCTGGGCTTAGGGATTTAGGGTCTACGGCGTCAGACTTCGGATTTAAAGTCGACGGTCTAGGATGTAAGATAGGGGCAATAATAATTAGAGTAGGGTTTGGGATATCTCATCCTATGATTATAACCAGTACCCCCCCAAAAAAAAACATACTATAGGTTGTTTTTTAAGGCCCCTAAACCCTAAACCCTACATCCTGTAAACCCTTAACCCTAAACCCTAAACCCTTATAGGATGCTGTTCAGATCGATCCGGATGAATTTGCCCGGGAGGCCCAAAGAGGTACACCCTCCCCGCAAAATCTTTCCGACAAGCCGTCCTGACAGTCATGGAAAATTGCTTAGGGTGTGGTGTCGGGTTCAGGGTTGAGGGTTTAGGGTTTAGGGCTCAGGGTTTAGCAACTGACAGGAAGTGTTCTCGGGTGACTGGGTTTGTAACGGCTGCTGCACAGAACAGGTCATGAGTCATGAGGGAAGCACGATGAAGATCCACATCGTACCGACTTGCAGAGAAGCAGTACATATCACATATCGAAGACAGCACCTGCTCAAACAATGGGTCAAGGTCCAGGTGTCCTGGTGCATGTCGGCAAGGATGTAGATGCCATAGGATGCTGCCTGGCGTGCGGTCCCGTTCGCGTCACTGTACACTCCAACAATTGTCTAGAGAGTTTGATGACAAGGTTTGTCGGGCATATGTATGTGTATATACACACACATACATGTATATATATATATATATATATATATTGAGTGCGTATGAACTGTATGTATGTACGTATGTATGTATGTATGTATGTATGCATGCATGCAGGTATGTACGCTTGTAAGTATGAATGCATTCAGGTATGTATGCGTGTATGCTGACCCCCATCACTCCATTTCGGGTGGCTGAACACGAAACAATCCTTTGAGCTTTGCGAATGCCAGCAACATTTCGGCTGGGTGTGTAATTAGTTCTCGAAATTAGGATCCCTTTTCGGATCCTTTTTGTGTGGGTGCCGTACTATTTTGGGGACCTTAACAGGGACCCTAATTTAGAGAACGGACTCAAAAACCAAACCCACCGCCTCCCTCGCCAGATCCGTGACGATCTTGAGATACGTCTCGTTGTACACACCTGCATGGAGGGTGAAGTAGAATCCCATGTGAGGGAGGTAGGCGTCTAATTTACATAGGTTGTCATAATTGGCCCATGGGTTGGGGGCTGGGGCTTATGGGTCAACCACTTATAGGTTGTACACGCCTGGATGTCGCATCTCAGTGTCAGTCCAATTGCGTCTCAGTGTGTTTGTGCGTCTGTGTGTATGCCAGGACACGTGCACACTAGTGCATAGATTTCTGCATGCTCGCCATGGCTTCAACGCGGAAGTCCCAGGCTACGCACGGAGCTGAATCAGGAGCACGTCCTTCTTAGTGGCCATCAGCGGAAGTCAGACAGCACCTGAATCCTCCCGAGCAGGTTTTCGGGGGGCGGACTGCATGGCCCAAGCAGATAATCCAACTGTTGCCAATACGGATACCACCCAGATGAACATCTCGGGATCACCAGGATACCCGAACATGCCACAGATTTCCGAAAGAAGGTATCCAGCCACAAGGCTGGCAGAGAAGATGGTGCCCATGTGCCTTGGTTGCTTAGTTGGGGCAGGAACAAAACATGGGGTTGATGCGGCTCTTAGCACAAGTGCTCCTGTATATATATATATATATGTATATATATCTCTCTCTCTCTCTCGCTCTCTGTGTCTCGCGCTCTCTCTCTCTCTCTCTCGCTCTTTCTCTCTCTCTATATATATATATATGTAATATATATATATATCTATATCTATATCTAATATAGGTTTCAACAGCCAGGCCTACATGCCGCCTTCTCTGACTCGGAAGCACGCAGAGCCGCTGGCCAGGCGATCAGAGCTATGAGGAAGAACCACTTCATGAGGGTGTAAAAGCCTGGAGATTGGTTCCAAGGACCTTATACTTAGGGCCATAGACCCCTTAAGGACTCAATAATAAGGTCCCCGGAAGCCTAGGGAAAGGGATGGCTTTGACTTAAAAATGACTAGCCTCCTTTTTGTTTCGCGCTGCAGCTATAGTTCCAGTACAGGAGTCAGGCACTGCGTCTGATTCTTGTTACCATAGCCCTCGCTGCAACCGTCAGTACCGTGCCCCTACCTGTACCGTATTATGCTCAGTGGGAACACAACCAGCTTTCGGGAACAGGCGGCCGTGCTTTGACCAGTTTGACAGCTCATGTCGTGGCGTCACCCAGTCGCTGGGGTAATAGAGACCGCCAAACAGACGCCAGTCCTTCACGTTCCCATCGCCCTGGCACAGCGGCGCCAGCACGCAGCACGTCAAGAAGCCCCCTGGCTCACAAAGGCTGCCTTGTCCATGCTTGGGGTACTTAAAGCAACAATGCCTTCTTGGGTTCAAGTATTCATCACCCTAAACCCTGAACCCTAATCACAATGTAAAATGTTCCCGAATATGACAAAGCTGCCATCAATGCAGTGAGAGATTGAAAGGAAACCTCGGGCGCGGCATGATCCCTTTATAATCCCAATATACTCCCAAAAGTTAACCTTTAGTTCCCCAGGATACCTTAACCCTAAACGGAGATTAGGGTGTTCGTTTAGGACTCAGGATGTGGGATGTATAGTAAGTTCCTATCGCAATACGTCACTCCGATTAGAACCCGTTTTGGGGGTGTCGAACCCTATAGGGCTCCAGTTTCAAAAACCGTAGGTTACGAACCATGTTTTTTATGTGTGACTTTGGCTTTAGGGTTTAGGGTTTAGGGTTTAGGGTTTAGGGTTTAGGGTTTAGGGTTTAGGGTTATGATATAGGGTTTAGGGCTCATAGGGTTTATAGGGTTTGGGTGAAGGAGTGCTTGAATTCAAGTCCTTAGTCTTGCCAGTCTGAAGATAGCCGAGCATCGCCAGAATGGAACGGCAGTGAACCGGGTTGGAAGAACGCAAGCCATTAGCAAATCCAGCAGGAAGGCTAAGATGCTGGGGGCTAGGAGCCTGGGTTCTTGTTAATTTAAGTTAGAATGAGAAGGAAACCATATAATTTACTATAAACCCAGATTTCTATCGTAATGTAAAGTGCTCCTTAACAAGAACCTCGGAGCTTGTGGTATACCGGCCATAGGTTCAGGACGGGGATCAAGTTCCGCGACCAGACGCACACGAAGCCAAACTCCAACATCTTGAATCCAGCGTCTACCAGAGACTCATGAAGCTTCTTGTAAGAGTAGAGGTCCCCATCCATTTCGTAGATGATCATGCGAAGATCTGGTCTGGAGAAAAAAGATGGGAACTGCCGGAAGATGCTGGGTAGGCAGCCCTCGCAATCAGCAAACAGCACTGAAGGCGTCCCGAACTTGGATGCCAAGTACGGCAGGCTGAAGCAGCTCTCAACGGTGTAGCTCATTCCTTCATAAGACATCTCTCGAGGAAGCCGTCTTGCAGATCCCGTCTCAGCATGGAGCTCTTCATCCACTCCGTAAAATGGCACTCCCTGGGGGCAATGAGATGCATCGGCGACCAAGCCGTGCACCACACGGACATCCTCGACCTCATTCCTCGCCAAGCTTTCCTTAGACTCGCAAGCGCCGAGTGCATCAAACTTACTGGAAAGCTCATCCTGCTTAGAGGGCTTGCTTCGAGGTAGCCTTGCTGATTGCGCATCCAGGTATCTCGGGACTTGGGTAGAACCAGCGTGTTCGGCTCAATGCAGACGGTTCCGTTCCTTGGTTGCTGAGTTCATAAGCCCAGAAAAGTGCACACTTTAAAATACCCTTTCAGTTTTATAATAGGTAATATTATCCAAAAAAGTGTAAAGTGTATCCACTCAGCTACTGAGGTTCAGGTTTCCGGAGAGCTTGGCGATAAGGATGCAGGATGTGCCCATGTCAACCCCAAGGTTCCACACTCTTTCGCCTCGCCGGATATAGGAACTCAACTGGTAACCTTAGCTGCCCAGTACCCTGGCCCAAAAAAGTTTTAAACTTTTTTAGTAGGGCTTTAATATACCAAAAAAGTTTAAAGTTTACCTATTGGCTCCTAAGTAACCTTCTTGCGACTCGTGATCCTGGCTGCACAGAGACTCATTGTGCCTGTCACGCAGTTCGAAGGCAGGTATGCGAGGAGGAGACGTCCTCCAGCTCAGCAGCAAAAACGGCAAGATGAGGACCAGGATAGGCAGAAGCCAAATGACACGAGGTGGACATGCCATGATCTAAAGGCCTTGCAGCAGTACTTTGTCCCATGCCGCAGGCAGCCCCAGATTCTACTGAAAACTCACTGTGACATGATGTCACATACGATGCTATACTGTGATCTACCATTCTACAATGATATACTCAAGTATACTATACTATATACTTTTAGTATACTAGGCATCATCAACCATTAGCCAGGAAACACGAGCGCGTGCAACTTGACCGACCCCAAAGAAAACTGAACTGCAAGCACACATGAGAGAGAAGTGGCTGCAGAACGGCACGACTCCTGCGTCCCAGAGATCTCGGGAATGCAGGGCAGGGCAGAGAACCGAAAAAGAGGCTGCTTTCTACCGAAAACCTCAGATTGCGACTCTCAAGCTATGTCCTAGACGTTGACGATGCTGCTTCTGATGGAAATGGAGAAAACAAAGCTAGTATTGCAATAATGAAGACGGTGTTGAGGCTTGTGATGACGTTGTGAAAGGTGACGGTTGGGGATATCGTAACAATTTGAATTTCATTCGGAACTCAGAACTTAAGCGTCTCAACCCAAATGCGTAAACCCAATGCCTCCCCCTTCAACCGGTATGTGCCGTCAGTACAAGGCCTCGCTGTGGCTCCACGCCGGGCCACATGACACCTCGTCATATCTCTTTGTTGGTGGGTCTAGCGTTTCAAGTTCGGGGCGCCTTTTTCGGAATCAAGTGCGCTTAACTATCACAGGGTTTCGGGAATACTTTTCATGGTAAGCTATTAGGAGCAGCTACTGAGGAAAATGTCAGAACCATGTACAATAATGTACTTACTCCTGGTCTCTTACAAGTACATATATATATATATATATATACACACACATATGTTCTCATATATATATATATAATCATATGTTTATTTATCTCTCTCTCTCTCTCTCTGTCTCTCGTTGTCCCCCTCTCACACAGTATATAAACGGCAAACAAATTCGCAGAACAGCTGCGCAGACACATCTGCTGAGCGACTGACCTGATATATGTCTCTCTCTCTTTCTATCTCTTTCTCTCTATCTCTCTCTATCTCCCTCTCTCTCTCTCTCCCTCTCGCTCCCTCTCTCTCTCTGCTCCATCTCTCTCTCTCTCTCTCTTTCTTTTTTTCTCTGACCTCTCTCTCTCTCTCGCTCTCTCTCCTTCCCGTCATCACCACCTTACATATCGCCCTGCTGACGGAGTCATGGAGCCGAATTCGCAAAAACCCACCTCTACCAGCTCGAAAAAGCCATCCTCTCTCTCAGTCTTCAGCCCGTAGGCTTCGGCAGACTGCTCGGTGTTCGCGTCTGGGGTTGAGGGTATTAGGGTTTAGGGTTAAAGGTTTAGGGTTGAGGGTTTAGGGTTGAGGGTTTAGGGTAGAGGGGACAATTAGGGGTTTAGCGGCTCCGCCCCACCCCATAGTGGACTCAAGATCATCAGTTGCCTCGAGCCATCTTCGCCTAAAGCCCACCTCCCGAATACATGTGAATTGGCATCCGTGGGAGCCATCTTGCTGCAGCTCACTGCCTTAAGCTTCGACCTGAATTGAGTTTGAGTTCAACCGAAAACTTTAGGCCATGTGAACCTGAGCCACGACCGGGTTCAGGGCTTCTCTTCTGGAGCTGTTGTAGTGGAGTGGCCTTACTAGTTAGAATAGAGTTTCGTGGCATGTCAAATTGGTAATACTAGGCTTCTATGTTACCGCTATCACCTTCACTGGAACACCCGAATGACAATCTAATTAATCCGCAATCGCGTTTAACCCCCATATGTCCCAACAACCAATCAAACTCACTATCCCCCTCCCCCCACCCCCTAAACCCTAAACCCTAAACCCCAAACCCTAAACCCCAAACCCTAAACCCTAAACCCCAAACCCTAAACCCTAAACCCCCCCACTCTGAAGAAGTGGGGGCGCGGCCAAGCCGAATTAAGTTCAGCCCGGCTGAGCGCATCATTCGGAAATCCTCGGCGTCAGAACCCGAGGCTTTGGTAATGTAGGGGCCTTAATAATTAGACTAGGGTTTAGGGTTTAGGGTTTAGGGTTTAGGGTTTAGGTTTGAACCCGAGGCTTTGGTAATGTAGGGGCCTTAATAGTTAGAATAGGGCTTTGGGGGTTCCTTTACAGGGTTCCTTAAAGGGTTGTATAAGGGCTACTATAAGGGTTTAGGGTTTAGGGTTTAGGGGCCTTAATAATCAGAGTAGGGTTTCTATAGGGTTCTATAAGGGTACTATAAGGGTTCTATATCATAAGTTCTCTAAATTAGGGTTTAGGGGCCCTAATAATCAGAATAGGGTTTTGGGGTATATGGTGTTATAATTATAATAAGGAACTCCCAAAAATAGTATTGGAAATTATTAGGCCTCTAAGTATTTTCTAAGTTAGCTGTTGATGGCAACTGAAAGAGTTCTGGCGGGGTTTAGGGTTCGGGGCTTCGTTAGCTTGGTGTTTAGTAGGTAGTATTATTGGGGGTACCCCTTAAAAGGTACCCCTTCTGAACCCTACTTGTGGCTCTCTTAAAAGGGACCTTATTGAGAGGGTCTATATCCCCAAGGGTCCCCCCTAATCCTAGCTCCCATTTAGGGTCTACGGTTCAGCCGTTAATACCAAACATAGCACCAGTATTGATGGATGATGGACATAGTGGTCTGTAACTTGGTCGTGGCGGTTGTCGTCGCCGCTGTCACCCCGAAAGCAGGCGCTTAATTCTCATTGATGATCTCATATTGTCATGTTGAAATGATCATTATTGTGCTGATTATTATCACCATAGTTATTGTTGCTGCTAGTGTCACGATACAGATGTTATTACTAGCATTAATATAATATTATCATTCACAATACTACTATCAACATCGACACCAATGACACGATCAATGTTCTTCATATCATCATTGTTCTACTCTCCGTCTCGAGATGAGGGAGTTTCATCTACATCCCATTCCAGGCCACGCTCCTTCGACCCGAAACCCCATATTCTATATCCTAAACACCAAACCCAACCCTAAACCCTAAACCCCAAACCCAAGTCCTAAATCCTGAACCCCGATTCAATCCTAGACTCTCAACCTCGAACCCCAAAACCCGAACCCCAAAACCTTACACCTGAAGCCCCCGAACAAATCCTATGAATCGAACCGCAATGCCCGGACTCCAAAACCTTAAACCTCGAACCCCAAATCCTAACCCCGGAACCCCACATCCAAAACCCTGCACTGCCTACACCCTAAGCCCTGAACCCCAAAACCCCAATTCAAAAAAACAAAGCCCAAATCCTGAACCCCAAGCCCTAAACTCAAAACCCCGAACCCTGAACCCTAAACTCTAAACCCTATAGGGTTTTGGGGTTTGGGGTTGAACCCTAAACCGTAAACCCTAAACCCCTGAAGCCCAGACCACCAGACCCTAAACCCTAAACCCTAAACCCAGACCCCCAGCGGTCCTCGGCTGTCAGTGACGTCATCGAGTCAAAGCCCTCCCGAGACGGAATCCACGGAGGGCCCTTCCTCAAAGATTCGAGTAGTTGTCAAAATTATGGTCCCTTTTGGGGTACCCTAAATATTAGGTGCCGTATTATAATAAGGACCCAAAAAGGGACCATAATTTTGACAACCACCCATTCGG